TTTTAGATTTTTCTACCTGGATTATTGAGCATGCATCAGGATGTTATTTCATTGATTTGAATCCAGAAATACAAATTAGCTCATCCAGAAACTGTCTAATCGTATCCTGAAGTAATCAATTGAAAGAACACTCTTCTTTTATATTATCATCACTATTTTACAATATCTTGACAAATCAAAAGTGTGTTTAGTTCATACCATTTCTAAATGTTGAAGTGAACCACTCATTTTAAATCAACTGTGAAACAGTATTAATCCATCCATCCATACATTTTCTTTACCCGCTTATTACATTTTGGGTCACGGGGGTCGCTGGTGCCCATGTCCAGCAATCACTGTGCGAGGGGCGGGGTACACCCTGGACGGGTCGCAAGTCCATCACAGGGACACATAGAGACAAACGAGACAAACAACCATTCACTCTCTCACTCACACCTAGGGACAATTTAGAGTTACCAATCAGCCTAACATGCATGTTTTTGGACTGTGGGAGGAAACCGGAGTACCCGGAGAAAACCCACGCATGCACGGAGAGAACATGCAAACGCCACCCAGAAAGGCCCCTGGACCGGGGTTTGAACCAGGGACCAGCTCGCTGAGAGGCAGCAGCTCTACCAGTTGCGCCACCGTGCTGCCCGAAACAGTATTAATGATTTTTTTAATGCTCATTTAAAATAGAAATCAAGTTAAATGTCTATTTTACAAAGTAATTATGCATTTTTGATCTTCTGTCTAAATGAGAGAGTAGTGATGTCGGTCAAGAGTCAGGAAGCAAGTATAAGAACGAAGTGCTTTGTTTTTAAAACTCTCAGACAGTAATCAAGAAACTGGCACCTGTAAGTCTGTCATTTCTCCAAAATATTTTCTCGTCTGTAACTAACCGTTCTTAAAACATTCCTGCTGTTTTCTTGACTTGTAATGACCCTCTGACTTCACTAGAACACCCCATGTTGGTTGCTTCAACCAATCAGGAAGTCCTGAGGTGACCGGAAGTGAGAACTCTTTAAGAGTCCACACTTCCTGGAACTTCTCAGGTTGTGGAGGTTATTCAGATCAGTCAGGTCTACGAGGTCAACTGGGTCTCTGATGAAGTCTAGTCTTTAACTTAACCTTCGGAGCCTGTGATAGATCCTTCCACACCTGAGTGGAACCTCTTACGGACTCACAGCTTGCTGTGTATTCCCCCGGGAGATGAGCGTGTTTGTTGAACGGAGTACCGTCACTACTTCGGACGATTCTCAGCCATCCTTACCGGAGACGCTGAAAGGTAGCGTTGAAATGGACTTCTGTTCCTGAGCGGAGGTATCCCGTCTAAGGTAACGAGTCTTAACGCGCCAAGTGTTCCGGAGAGTTGGGCTGGTGTTGGATGAAGGGTGCCGTTCCTAGTCAACACATTCCTGTTTATCCATCTTTTTCTCTCCACTTGAACTCCTCCATTTCCCATCTTTAAACTCTCCTATTTTGCTAGTAATTAATCTAGAGGCCTTCAGAAATGTCTGTTGTTTTTATTAAGTAAAACGTGCCAAGTTTTATTAATCAGAACCAGATCAGCTAATCAAGTGTACAATGTTTTAATGTTAAATTTTGATTCTGTTCAATAAATGACCGCATTGATTCTGATGGGTCAAAGAAAATTAACGTCTCATGTCACTGATTAAACAACCTATGCACAGTTACCTTGGTCACATGGCTGTAATTTAGCTCGAAAAAGAGAGAACCCGTTATTTAAATATAGTTAGTGGTGGGGGTGCAGCGGAGCTGACCTTGACACACTACAGGTGAGATCCATAAACATTCTCGAGGTATGTCGAGAAATGGCCAAGGATAACATCTATAAGAATCCAGAGTCCTGAAATGATGACACAAAGTTTATTCAGCGGGGTTTCATCTGGTTATCAGTTGGAAATTCTTCAAGAGGGGGTGGTGAGTGTCAGATCACATTTTCTCCAGGCAACTTTAGATAAGATGGCCTTCAAGGACAACCAAGGCGACCAAAATTTAGATAAATACACAGTTGTTTTGGGGACAGGCAGAACTTAATGACATCAACCTTCAGTCTATGTTGGTCCACTCAGTTCTGAAATGTCCAAATTAATATGGCCACACCAATAGAACGTGTATGAGTAAAAAAAAAACAAGATCTGATCCATTCAGCCCAAAGCATTTGAGTCCGGGTACTCCAGACATGAACCAAACCATCATAAAGGCAAGCAGCGTGATCAGGTCCAAATTTGCTACTGACGACTTCCTTGATTGTAGATAAAACCAGCACCAGCTGAATCCAAAAAGCAGGAACCAGTTATCGAAAATCCAATTAAATATGCGTCCTTAAAATCCACAGATGGCAGCAGAGATAGACACATCATCAAGTCTTCCAGTCGATGAGATATCCAGCTGCGTACGTGCCAACAGGGTAAATCGGCTCGCCCAAAGCCTGTCTTCTCTTCGAAGAAATGTTGTAAATTGAGATGAGGGACCAACTGGTCAAAACAAGTCCATAATTATAGTTTGGAAGAAATGCAAGAGAGGCTCACAGCAATTTCACAGACAGACAGAGCAGCAAAGCAAAGCGGAGAGGGAGGGAGAGAAGCATCCGATCTAGTGGGGAGCGAGTGGTGAAGTGAAGTGAATTTCGCCTGGATGTTATGAAAACAAGATGCTCTGATCCACTCCCCACCTTCTCCCCTCACCAAGGACATCTGCAGAAGAGTGCCTCTGATAGACACTATATAAACTTCCTGGAGTGTCCATGGACAACCCCTTCAAACTCATGTTTTCGCTGGCTCCCCTTGTTGCCTTCCTGGCAGCATGACAGCTCAGTGGTCAGCACTGTTGCCTCAGCGCCAGGGCCAGATTAGCAACCCCGAGGGGCCCTGGGCACTGAAGCTCACAGGGCCCGCCTCTCTAAACTAACACCAATTTTTATATATATATATATATATATA